GGAGAGGGAGAGCGCGCCCGCCGTCGAGTGGGGGGGGGGGGGGGGGGGGGGAGTGCAAATTCAAACTCTCCCTATCGCACTACTGTGACGAATTATGAGAGTGATTGTCTATGTCTTGCGACATGATGGTGTGTTGTGTCATCTACACACTCATAATCGTGGCGTTTCTTTATTGAACACAACTTATATAGGAAATATCGTGCATAACATAACAAAGAGAGGGCAAGGTCAATATCTATGAACAGGTCGCATAGGTGAACTATAGATATACCCTGACCGTTACAACTACATCGTCCTATATATTCATATATAAAGTATAACAATAATCCTGATCCGAAAAACAGACAGTTTATTCCGTCAAATATTAGTTTACAGGAAGTAATCGATTGATTCGAAGAAGGGACAGCAGGTGGTCATTTAATATATCTTGGATATAAATCCAACAAAAAGGAAATAGGACTTTGTATTTATAATAACGGTAGACATTATGATGCTCTTTTGCCTTTTCAACCTAATCCGCCTCAGTTTTTGCCACATTTTGACTTAATAAACATGAGTTTATAATATCGAGAAGGATTCATTGCAGATATATAAAATCGGTCAACATAGATTTTGCGTTTAATCAAGTAGTTAACTCTGTGGAACTAACTTCTCACCACGTCCTACAGGACAAAAGGAGGGCATCCGCAGGCTCTAAGGAGTGCCTCCTTAGTGCGCTCAATGATGATTTGTTTCGAGATTTTGATAAGGAAAAGCTCGGCGGCATTGATTAAAGCAAGAGATTATCAGGGTGAATCTCACCCAGACCCTACCTTTCGTCCTCTTTCTATCGGTTTCAACATCATGTTGGCTTTTTTATATATGTAGAAAATTTGGGAAATTTTTTTGTAAGCTAGTAGTAGCACAGCCGATCGGGCTCATCTTCGAACTCGTCTGCGACATTGACAATATACTGCTATGTACTAAATTTCATGACAATTGGATTATTCTTTCAGGAGCTATCGGATTGACGGCCAGACGGACCTACTGACCCATTCCATAGTATACTCACTTTTTGAGTACACAAAAAGGATCTTCATGTGGTATTGAACCACATTAGAGATGTGTGATGAGAGAACATGAAAGAGAAAAGGTTAGCGATAACTAGTATGTACTAACTGTTATCGCTAACAGGATGCTAAATAAACTGTATCTTTAACCCACACCCTCACCCTCACCCCTCACACATGTGTGAGTACAAATAAGACGTAAGCATTAATCCGTGTATTTCATCTGCAAAGCTCAAACTAATTATTTTATTTTGTGAATGTAGAAAAGTTGTACTCGATTATTCTCCCACTCACTGACATAGAGATCGCCATGACGATTGAATGACAATCCTAAAGGGCATGTGAGTTGATTTGCATTGCCACCCTCACCATTTCCACCAGCAATGATCTCGCCTTTTCTCGCTCCAGATAACCATTTAATTACTCGATGATTTGCCATATCTGCAATATAGAGAGTGTTCTTATCGTCGACCGCAATTCCTTGAGGACATGACAAGTGCTCGAGATCTACCCCATCTTCTCGTCCACCCGCGACGACTATTCCTACATTGGTACCTCTCAACCATTTCGTCACACGATGATTATCGTATTCTGAAACATAGACAGCACCGTCCTTGCCAACACACACTCTATTTGGGCTGTTGAGTTGATTGAGATCAAGTCCATCTCCATTTCCACCTGCAACAAGTTGTCCTATCTTATTACCTTTTTCATAGCGTTTCACCAGATGATATTCAGTGTCAGTGACGTAGATGTTTCCCTTATCATCTATAGCCAAACCGCAGCACTTGATATTGTCAAGAACAATTTCTCCGCAGGTAGTACCACATTGCTGAGACCATCGCACTACTCGTCGATTTCCTGGATCACAAATGATCAAACTATTATCCTTCTTGTCAAGCACTACATCTGTTGGTCTGCTCAGTTGGTCCATTCGAGGTCCTTCGCCGTTTCCGCCAGCTACCAAGCGGCCTGTTACATTGTCACCCTCTTTCCATGCCACAATGCGGTGATTACCGGAATCAGCAATGAACGCCGTGCCATCGTCGTCTACGAAAAGGCCTTCGGGCTGGAGGAGTTGATTAAGTTCTTCTTCAATTCCATGATATCCTGCAATAGTGATGCCATCCTGTATCCATCTTGCTGTTGGAGAAATCAGAACCACTTCTTAAAGAAAATAATAGCTGTTCAAATAAAAGTTGAAGGTATGGGTGTAAATACATAAGAGAAGAAATTCTGAAGTGATATTAGCAAATAAATAACCATAAGACTCCATTTCATCTGAAACTGTAAATATAACCAGCAACAAATGCGAGTGAAGTATAATATGGTAATACAGTCATGCTCCGATGACTTGCTCATAAAAAAGAAGTTGAAGAGATATCGCTTATTTAAAATCCGAAGTATTAAGTGTATAACTCGAACAATCTGTTAGCTCAAACTATAGGGACATCAGCGAAAGAGAACGAAAGAGAGAGGAATCGAGAAAAAGTGACCTTCGTGGGACTCGAACCCACACCTTCTGCTATCCGGGCAGATGTCCTAATCCAGTTAGACTAGAAGGACCATCTTAATCTCTAGTCTAGCGTTGTGTGATTCATCACAAACGCTAACACCTTACCCCTTTGGGGAGGTGCAGGAAAGGAAAACAAGCTGAATGCCCAACTTCTCCACCAATTGTTAGCTCAAACTATAGGGACATCAGCGAAAGAGAACGAAAGAGAGAGGAATCGAGAAAAAGTGACCTTCGTGGGACTCGAACCCACACCTTCTGCTATCCGGGCAGATGTCCTAATCCAGTTAGACTAGAAGGACCATCTTAATCTCTAGTCTAGCGTTGTGTGATTCATCACAAACGCTAACACAATCACTAAGAGCTCATTCTAGTTGTGAAACATAATCCAAAAGAGAGTATCGAAGTGCAAAAATAAACTTCTCTTCTCAGGTGTTCTCCGCTACGAACGACAGTCATATAATAGATTTTAGGAGGTGTTTCATGATTACAGTGATACAAGATAGGAGAACTTAAGTGGAAGGTGAATTAAGTTTGAATTCAGAATTATGGATAAATCAGTTCAGCATTATCCAAATTTTTGAGCAAGAAAATATCATAATTAAAACACTTGTGCACTACTATCGGAATTTTTAAAGGCCGGTGAAAGAAAACTCATGGTGACCTACGATTTCCTCTATTCAATAAAGGACAGTCAAGGGCAGATATCTATGTGAAAATCGGTGCCTGAAACAAAGTATATATTCCTCACTTTTTAACAATTTGTTAAAAATCGCTAAATAAGCTTTGGATTTCGAAATCTTCAATTTCTGTTTTTACACGAAATTCTTCTCTTTAAAACAACAAATTTTCAGCATTTTATCTTGGTGGGTTCAAGTGATACAGGGCCATAGTGCAGATACAAGTACTTTTATGAATTAACCCGTGAATTTCTACAGAGGTTCATGTGTGTCACTTCAATTTTTCAAATGATGAAAATCTCGCCTTCCTATGATTTTTCATTCGAAAGTTATAAGCTTTCCTTCTACCAGCCTTCTTTTAAAAATTTCCATAGTAATACGATGTTGATTAAAAAAAATACAATACAATTAGAAGCACAAGTGTATTCAATAACTATACTGCGAATAATACGTTGAAAAATATTCTTGCACTAAGTCGAAATTCTACGAACCACTAGATATATAAAGAATAGTTCTCCTGTCAGGAATATACTTAGAGAATTACTCTAATTCCCTCTACTAAAAGGAGGGTATACACAGAATTTCAGTTAAAGTTCGTTCGCCCGTTCACGTACTTTACACTGATAGAACAACAATCTGTACTGCTTACGAAGAGTTTGACCAAAGGATAATCGAGGTTAGTTTTTTCAGAAAAACTTTCTGTCTTGTTTTTTTGGGACAAAGGATAAATTTTTTAGACGATAATGTGCTAAGCGGCAATGCGTAGAACAAAAAATGTAATAGCTGACTAACGTACGATCGCTGGATCTCCATAGTCATCAGCATATTAATAAGATCACACACTTTTATAAACAGCTATACTATACGAATATCATCTGATGCCAGTTACTCAAAATAATGTTTCGTTTGTCAAGCGTTGTCTTCGAGAGTCACAGTAGCACAAAGAGGGTAACTTTTAAAGAGGGAATAGAAGAGAATGAATGGATTACTTTCAAAAGTGGCTGTAGACTAGATAGAAGAGTGAAAATGTACATGTAACGGCTAGCCGCGACCAGTCGTCGATTTGCAGAATAATATTTTAAAGAACAAAGTTTGCAATTTTCATATAGCTTTAAGGTTTCTTGGACGGAACTTAATTGTTCCTCGGCGCGAACATAGCTGGCAACTATTTAAGGCTCCTCGTGGTGGAGAGAAGATTGAAACCTTTTCCAGAGAATCATATACCTATGTAAGGTTTCAAAGTTTTCGATTATGAATTGATTTTTCGAAATGAGCTCATTTTTGGAACACGTCTTCGTCCAAATGAAGTTAAGATAGTAAAATGAGTACGCATGGGAACGACTAGATGTTTCTTTTGAAACTTAGTTTAAAAGTGAGATTTATAAGAGTGTCGCACAGTGTCCATAATTTTTCGAAGGTATATATATATGACATATTTTCGAGCTTTGAGAAAAAACTATGTAGATCACTAACTCATTCAACTAAAAATGATAATAAAAGATATACCGTAGGTCACGAAGTTGTGAAGAATTGCGGTAAATTTCCTAAAGACGGACTCAACAAGAACGAGGTACTTTTTAGTATGAAAATATCATTAAACACTTATTAGGTACCAACGGCTAGCCGTGCGTGGTCGATCGGAGAGAGGCCGACAAACGACTAGGCGTTAGTTTCAGAAGATTTCAGGAAGCGAAATTGGTCTAAGTAAAACATTCTGATAAATTATCAAATGATCAAGTTGTTCAACTGAAATAACTTTTTTCTCTCTTTGGACGAATAGTAGCGATCTAATTATAATATTATCCTTTCAGTAGAGGGTTTAGCGGCTATTAGGCCGCGTTACTTGTCCTCTAATCTAATTTAGTTTCAGAATACACTGATACGTTCATATTGAAACGAATATTTATTCTAAAAATTATAACGTACGTTCTCAAGGTTGTTAGTCGATTCTGACTTACGATTATTTCTTGTTGATCTAAACGCTCTGTCAAATTCGATGGCTTTTTTCGCCCATATCACACTTGCGTCGAGGTGATGTTTCAGTCCAGCCACTTCAGCCAGATCTTCATATAAATTTTTACGCAACAAAGCGTCAGCAGAAAGTCGATCAAGGAAAAGCTGATAATAATATTCGGCATGATCAATTTTACCCATCCTTAACAGCAACTTTCCTAATGTGCGGAGATTTGTCTTTCCACTACCATTTTGACTTTTCATTTCTATCAGCACATCAACGAGATCATTTTCTTCGTCGCTGCATAATTCCAATTGAATAACCCAGACTTTATCCTCTGCCGGTTCAATCACTTTTTTTATACGAAAAATCGATCCTAACATAAACAGTACTTCTTCTTCTTGCGCAAATTGGCTAAACATAGTGATGTTTGCAAATGGTTTAGTATTAACTTTACGAAAGTCAGCCACGATCTCAAATAATACTCGCTCTGAATCGATAGGTAACCTAGTGTCGCCTAGCAAGAAGAGAGCCGCGTCTCGATTACAACTGGACGAGAAAAATGAGTTCACAGAAATAAGCTGATCAACATTTCCTTTGAGAATTTCTAATTCTTCTTTTGTAATCAACTGACTGCGGTAGACGGTTAATTCAATCTTTGACTGATGATCAGCCAATTGTTTCCAAAGATCAAAAATAAACGAACGATAAAGAAACATCATGTGTATCGATTGTTTACGTAGGGCTGCATTGAGAGTTTTATAAACGAACGATTCACGAGTATACCACCAAATGGCCCTGCAGGGCAAGTAAGATGTTTTAAATTCGTCGATACGTGCCTTTTCACTGTCATTATCTATATATTCATCCATACAGAGAGCTATCAACTCAGTTTTGTCCTCTTCTTCATATTCCATACGTAAAAGACAATCGATGAGACATTGAGAAAAGACAAATTGACCCCTCACTTCTGTTGTTGAATACATAATAGTGAGTGGTTCCGAAACTTTCTTCTGAATTTTAAAGTCAGCTTGGATATAAGAAATAAGTTCATCGAGCTCCGTTACTACTTGTTTCACCTAAAAACAAAAAAATTCAGCTTTGACAACGTAGGCATTGTCCAACTTACTTTGGTGAAATCATGAGCCCATTGTTCATTGTCTTGTTTGTTCATACAATAGACATAGATTGAAAACACTTGTTGAAGATTATGAACTGAAAGTACCAGATGTCGCCCTAGTTGACCATTAACGATGAGCACTATTCGATCATCTTTTGGTCTTTGCTCAATATAATTTTGGCATGATTTTATATCATGAAACTTTTTCAAATAATTGATGATTGCCCGGAGTTTTTCTTGAGTACCTCTTTTCTCTACAAGATTATTGTCGAGCCACACGAGACTGAAGAGCTCAAGATGCTCAGCACCATTTGATGCAGTAAGAGCAGCCATATTCTTTCAATAATTAACGATCAGATTAAGGTGATAATAAAAACGAAATCGAAACAAACAGCTTCACTCAATTGTATACAATCTTGAAGTATTAAATATAGGTAGGATAAATGGTTAAGAAATTTTGTTAAATCTAGGAACAAACGGTTAATTTCGGCCTTATTGAATACTAAGATATAAGGACAACGTATCATTCTTTTTTGTCAAGCAACTGAAACATTTGAGTTGTAATAGTTTAGGCGAGAATAACTAAAACTTGCGCTCGCTCTTATCATAATCTCATTCAAATATTGACTAAATTTAAAGAATAATTATTCACTCGACGATTGTTCCTAATATATGCGTGATTTAAGTAGGAAGTTCTGATTATGATCGGTTTTTCACTGCATTTTGAGGGTTTATGTATGGATAAACTTTCGTCTCTTGAGATCCTTACCCAATCACTTCTACATTCTGAAAGGAGAAAAGTTTTGCCGTGTTTTTGACAATTCTTCTTTGCGTGGATGATAACTCAAGTTCTAAATTATCAGTTCCTTTTTATGTTAAATCAATCACTTTCGCAGAACTATCTAAATGGACTCCAAATACAGATGATGGTTCGAAAATAAATGTCGGCTGATGAAAAATATTGATTCCAATGTTACTTACACACATAACAAGTTCTGAAAATCTTCTGTTTCTCATAGTCTGATAGAGGGAAAATACTTCACTGTTCCATTCTTTTTTATTATGCTCTAATTAATATCATTATAATGATAAGCTGAGTGACTTCTGTGTTGTAGTATTGCATTTCTTGATGCACTACATTAATAACCAAAGAAATTGTAAGATGTAATGTGAAGAGTTTCACAATCTATGCAGTAAACACGGCAACCGTGTGGAATCGGTAATGCTAAGTAAACTGGAGCTTTTATGCCATATTTTCCGATGCATTTCGTTTCTAATGTAGTGCAAAAAGAAACTCAATACTACAATAAAAAATAAAGTCCTATTATATATTAAATTTAATAAAGAAAATCCAACACCATATGAATGTACGTAGCATACAAGTAGCGCTCGTCGTGCCAAGTCACTTAACCCTCCACTGTGGAGGACAGATGTTTTTTTCGTGTCCCAATTGTGAGACCAAATTGATCTAACAATTTCATACACGAAGAAACTATTCAAAAGTTTTTGCACCGATATATTTAGTAACTTTCAAAAACAAAATACTGAATTTTTCCTACTCTTTTCGGAGGGGCATATAGAAACCTCAATTTTATACTACCAATGCAATATGCAATAAGAAGAAAGAAACGATGACGCAGTACAATAAACACGAGTAGCTGCCTAATTCGACTTATAATATAAGTGACCGATTCCTAGCACCCATAGGAATAGAAATAGATTTAGTTTCACTTATACATATAAACCCTCACCCTTAACTACGCCCACACCCTCACACTCACACTCACCGCAGCACCCTCAATCGAGATATATCCGCGCGTACACCCACCCTCAAGTGAGGGTGTGGGTGTATACGTATATGTATAAGTAAAACTAAATCTATTTCTATTCCTATCTACTCATTTGTTATAAGTGTGATATAGGTATCTATTTATATTCGAAATGATACTAGCCTGTTGGGGGTCGACTTATAATATAAGTCGAATTAGGCATCTCATGGGATATTGAAGATGACACCATAAATCAACTAAAGTAATCCAAGATGATGAAAAATAGGTTGTACTTGTCTGTTGTAATTCAGCTAACTTATCACTTTGCTTTTCGAAATGTAAATATTGTTGAACGTCATGAGAAAGATCATTAATTAATACACTTTGTTCTGTATATACGGTTTCTTTTATCTATACGATAAGATTAGAAATGAATATCTCTGGAGAAAATCAAGAACGAGACAGTACTACTTAATTAATTCCTACATTTTAAGATTTAGAAATTGTCAAATTACTTACTCTAGAATCGGATGATGGCAATATCTTCTCAGAATTTGTACTATCATTTGAAAAATCGAAAACATAAATCTTTGAAATAGATTTATAATTTTGAAATTTTGAAGTTAAATCTGGCAGAAATTGTCGAGAACAAATCATAAATGTTACAGTATTTTTTGTCTGATTAATATATTGAAGACATTTTTCAACAGTTGAAAATAGTTTTGTATAATCAATATTACGACGTAAATCTTCTATAGATGGAATATTCGATATATTATTACTTAACAAAACTAATTGATGTGATTCAATATTGATAATTTCGCGATTTAGTATGAGAGGTCGAGATATTCGCTCTGATTTGGAAGTGGATTCGATCATTATAAATATGAAGTAATAGAATTTTTACAATAGATATATGCAACGGATAAGAGAAAAAAGAACTCGCCACGTGGTTTTATTGTAATATAATATTTCCTTTTCTTGCATAGCAGACAGTTTCGTGCATATCTTTATATATTGTATTTACAGAGTGAAATGTGTGGGTGTATTATGAATAACAAATTGCCACGATAACTTTCATAAGCAGAAAACCATTTTTTAATGAAATAGAGGGTATATACTTGAGATAAATTAAGTACTATAACATGGATTTCAATATTATTAAAGATGTTAACAGATGGTACTATAGTAAGGCGTAATGTATTTTAAACTTTTTTAAAAATGTCGTTCTCATTCCTACATGTTATCTCGTGATATTCCGATTATACCTTCATCCTCAGTAGCTTGGGAAAAATTACATATGTTCTTTGACGACGATAGATTGTTATATTGAAAGAAAAACTACATTTAGTGGTACGTTGGAGAATATTTGCAATGTGGGGCAAAAAAATGTACACTTAATCATAAGAAAAGATATGCGTGTATAAAAGCGAAAGAAAAGTAACAAATGAATTATCTTTTTCTTTTTTAAAATTTTACGATCTACCCATGACAAAATAATTATCTTTGTCAAACAACAGAATTTTGCCGACATTGAATGATTGCTTTTAATGTAAGATTCGATGTATTTCGAATATAATTAATGGCTAGCCATTTTTCTCGCGCTGAACCTTTGAACAACAAGGAGGGGATCAATGAATATCTTCTTTTGCAAACTTGTTTCACCGATGAAGCTGTTATTCTTGTATTGAACATTGTTACTAATATTCTCCCTCGTGTTGCTACGGCTAAACTTGCACAAGATGAATCAACTTCTATCTATCTATACAATTTGTACACGGTTCCGGTTTTGTTCCCTTATATAAATTTTATTTTTTTGTTTACCAAGAAATATATTTGTTAGATTTGCACCTATTGAACATATATTCAAAAATGTATAGAAAATTTTCGTCCCATCGCTTTTAGTTTTGAAGGACTACCGTATAAACTGACGGGCACACTGATCAATTCTAGTTTTGTAGTTACTCTTTCATTACACCAAAATAACTTACGCATATCTGATGTTGTCATTGTATTGAAGATAGTTGTTAAAATGAAATTAGTATTAATTGTCGTTGCTACATAAACAAAATTTCATTGAAAACTAGAAATTGAATTTATTGATCAAGTACTAATAATATGATTTGAACTTCAAATGTTGATAAAGATTTAACTGTAATAGAAAAAAGAAACTTGCGCTGGAGTTAATTGAATAAAATTAAGAGTAAAATGCTGGTAACACTTCGTTGAATATTTCGTTTAACATTATTAGAATTTAATGAACTAAAAAATTAATTTTAAACAGCAAATATGAATAAAATTTTGCATACATTTCTGTTTTTTTTTATTTAATAGAAATGTTTCAATAAAATTAACTGAATCACTATGAATTATACTTTTGGATATACTAGAAAGTTTAGAAATCTTTGAAAAACAATCAGATAAAAATGAAGTAAAATTTCTTATTTTATGCTATACAGGACATGTTTCTATTAAAATACACTAAATTATCGTTCACTAATAGTAATTCTACGCATATTTTTTAATCAGTTAACTTATGAAATATGTTATGAAAGAAATAATGCAAATGTTGCTTGAAAGTGTAATAGGAAAGTGTGGAAATATGTCTTTGATGTGTTAGACGCTTAAAAAAATCATAAAATCGACGTAGTGAAATTCTTCTTTGTCATTTTACTGTGATGATGAAACTCGAACATCTAGTTATCGGAGATGATTTTTATCTTAATCATATTATTGTTATTCTTTCAAATGTTCTTGAACTTTTTCGTTTATCGATTCATAATCAACTAAGAAGCGAATCTGTTACATAACAGTAATCTCAAACTCCAAAGTTGAATTCAAGTTTTAAGTTGTACATGTATGGATCTCGTAGAAATTGTTATATGATTACATATCCATATCCAGCTAAATAATATATAGTCACAATATCCGAATTCAATGTGATATTTGTCAGCCTGAGAAAGTGTTATCGACGTGTTTCTTGAAGTGAAAGAGAAAAACAAAGATTGTTTTTTTGTCTCTACTGATTGCTAATGAACTATTTTTCATGGTAACCTAGTAATTATAAGTCCTATATATGGTTGATCTGTCTTCTGCACTCATTTAACGGGTGTCTAGGAATACTTTATGAACATGAGGAAAGGGCGTATAGACATCCTTTATCAGCATTGCAATCACGAGCTTGCTTACCAGTCGGAAAAATATCGAGCTGTTTCATCTTATACTGTTCGATTTCTTCTTCTGGTGAAATATTCACCCTTTTGCATCCATTAGAAAGCAAGTCAATTCTGTGCACAGTAAGAGATGTCAACAAATAGCAGTGAAAACAATACTATAGATTTGTTTCCCGATTTGGAAATTTCGTTATCACGTTCAGCTCGCTTCTGGATTATACTGTTTCTTGACGTTCCCTCAGTGATCTGTAGTCTTTGCTTGATTATTCATATTATTATCGATCGAACTCAACGACATGCATTGTATAATCACACGATTTTTCTAATTCTGATTGTAAACTTACCAGTTCAATTATTGGATACTGGCTTGTATCTTTCTGTTATTCGCAATGGTCTTGTGCAGCCATCACTACCGATTCTATGTCTTCTATGGTTACTGGTAGATTACTGCTTTTACTGCATGGGAGTTATTCTATTGACTTGGCTGGCAATCGAGCGACATATTTTGATCTTCTATGACCAATGGGTAGCAAATCAGCGAGGACGATTTCTTTTCCATTATCTTCCTTTGATTCTTATTATCTCCTATGTTTGTCTGTTCTATATCGTTGGTATTTTCGTATTACCCTGTGACAACGTCTATGATTATACATCCTTATACTGCGATGTTGGTCCTTGTCTTGAATCCTACAAATTTATCAACTTGTGGGAAACGAACTTTAATTATTGTTGCCCAGTGATTATTGAAACTGTTGCCAGTATCAGTCTTCTATTGCGTGTGCAATGGCAGAAACGACGCCTTCGTCGGTCAAACCAATGGCGAAAACAACGCCGAATGATCATGCAATTAGGCTTAGTTTCAGGCATCAATATGGTCATGAACCTCCCACTCTATATCGTCTTCATTGCTCGATCATGTGGTGTAGCTACGCAAAGCAGCACTGAAGCTAAAATCTGGTTTGATTTTCTCAGTTATGGAATAGTTTTTTTCTTTCCATTTGCATCATTATGTCAGTTTCCAGTTTTACGCAAACAAATTATAAAGACACTGACTTGTATCATTGCAAGACCATCGCCACCACACTGTCTTTTAACCATTTCGTTAACAAAAGTCACGCCTAGAAAATAATCCGATGTGACTAATTCCTGTACGATATTATGGAGAATCGGTTGGGGAAAAGAATACTTTTGCGAATCTTTATTGTCACGTTACTGTTGTTCTTCGCTTTGATGTTCAAACACAATACATACATGTATATATATATATATTCATTTTATTCAAATAAAATCTTGTATTCTCGTCCATACGAAAAGCGTAATACTGTCTTCATTTTAAGGGTGTGAGTGAAAGTATTGTTTGCCATCATAGCGCACATCCGCATTTAAGTCATATTTTAAAGCAAAGAATCTCGATGGAAATTTCTACATAGAAGGATTTTCTCCCAATTCGCCTACAATCAGAAGTAGTTTCTGGTCCAAGAAAAAATCGTTTAAAATCTGTTTGCTCTATTTTATCAACAGATACTTTCATAATTTTCCTGTATTTTGTTCATCTAATGTTCATTAATCCTTTGACTTCCGGCGACGTATGTATACATTCAAACGCAATTATCGAATAAAGTTGCTTACAGTACAGTTTTTACTTTTTCGGAATATCTTTTAATCCTTTACCACGTGACATTAGACGAATGCCATACATTTTTCTTTCCTCTAGACTAGTTAGTGGTGTACACTTCTATCTAGTATTCGCTTTCTTTTATTCAGCGCAATCACAGTACTCACCAGACTTATTAAGAAAAATAAAATTCAAGACTATTGGAGCACTGATCCATTGCTAGTTACACCCGTCTTCGATCAGTATTTCGCATGAAATAGGTATCATGTCATTCTACGCTCTATACACTTTGCAACGATGAAAGTCTTGTGTATGGAAAGAGATATTTGGGTTCAAACAGTATATCCCGTCTAAGCACCATCAATTCGGAATCAAATTCATTCTAGACTTCATTATTTACACAGTGTATCAACCCACAACCAGACTCGGATTGAGTGAATCAATTGTAATGAAACTCGTGCAGACATATTACGCAAGTCGAACATTTTTTGAGCCCCTACACATCGTAACAGAACTGGTGCATGTAGTACCATCCGTAAAAAAGACAAGACTTGCCATCTTGAACAGCTGAGTCGAAAAGAGGCGAGAGTCAATATGCTCGTACCGATACTTTGCTTGCTTTCAACGATTCTACTCGATGGCATACACGAATTCAAACGAAACAAGTCGACAAACTGGAGTAGTAGTCCAGAAACCTATTTGCATTGACGACTGCACCAACAACATGGGTAGTATATAATACATTCGTAATTTATGAAATGTAAAACAACACTTCCTAGCAACCATCTGATTTTTGACTCGAAATAATTTGAGAGATTTTGAAAAAGTATGGATCGCAAGAACCATCTACCGTAGAAAGGCCATCGACAAAACATTCCCCTCTTCGTCTAACTGCTCCTCATTTCCCTTCACTTAGTCTACAAACATCGCAACCAAAGCAACCTCGAAGTGATACATAGTATTTCTGCGTCGACTGCTTCGCAGAGATTATCATACGGAGATGAACAACTAAGGGACTTTTACACAAGAATATCGTATCTTCAAAGGTTTCTTACAAAAAATTTTGATTTTCGGCGTAAAAAAAGCCGGGAGTCAAAGGATCGCCTATGGCATGTGTCCTCTATAAACAAAATCATATGAATGAATCGTCGGAATATTTTATTGAAGTATTAACATTTGAAAGGATTGACTTTGATTGAGACGATCGTGTTTACGTTTTAAAGATCAAACTGATATGATTTATTATTGCAAAAAATAGATATTTAGGGTATATGAACGAAAACGACAGAGGAAAAATTGCTATTAAATAATGTTAACGTCCTCTAGTATCTTTTAGTGGCTTCTGTTATTTTTGTTGGAAGAGTTTGCCTTTGTCTTTTTCTTTTTCTTATAATTTTAGTAAATGTTTTCTTCCACGCTTTATAAAATCTCATGTCAATAATTGCAACGATAGCTGGATCTAATGCAATTTGAATATAATTAAGCATTGATGTAACAATACCTACTGATGTATTTGCATTAACAAATTGAAAAGAAAGTACAAATGGACTCCATAAAATAAGCCAAATGGAATAAAATACTACTGATTGAATAACTAATCTCATATGAAATTTACGACGATTATTAATTATTTGCTGATTACGAATATTTCCAGTTGAACTTATAAAACGAATACAAAGAAAAATGAATATTATATTCAAAGTAACTGGAATAAAATAAACAATAAATATATTAAATATTTGAACATATACTGACATATATTTAATGTCACATATTCCACCTAATTGACGCCATAGTTGTGTCCAATTAACAAGAAATTGAATAATAATATTAAGCATTGGAATAATATAAATTGCTAAATTACTCAAGATAAGTGACCGGACATTTTTTATATAAACATTTCTATTAAAAACAATTTGTATATACCGACATACGTTAAGTCCTAAGAGAATATAACTTTGGATTACATTTGTATAAATTTTTGAAATCGCTTCGAAATAACATAAAATTGTACGTGCTGATCTTGGAACACAAATCATGGAAATACGTTGACCATAAAATAAAAAAAATCGAAAGATAAGAAAAAGATCAGTTAATAAATAGACATAAAGCCAAAACATTCCTCGTTGTCGAATTGATGAATAAAATAAAAAATGAATCCAAAATATTGTATGAATTATTGTTGCCATTATACAAATGTATAATGTTGGTTTACGAGTGCCAGCTGTATCAGATGACCAACTTAGAACTATGCATGGAGATTGGGTTGTTGTATTCATTTTAAACAAATCAATAGAAAATACATTGCATTTTTATACTATGAATTTAACCTATTATTAGTAACAAAATGATTTTACCAATCGGAATTTATTAGAAGTCATCAGACGAAATTAATTTTTGTCCTTAACATACATTAAGTTTGAAAAGTTATTACAAAGTGGGTTTCAATTAAAAACAACTAAACAATATTAGATAGAGATTTGTTTTAAAAATTATTCAAATTTTATTTGAGAAAATTTTTAACAAAAAATACTTCTTCGTATGAAAATTCCTGAGTGTCAGATATTATTTTAGGTCAAAAATATTATCCAAATAATTGTCACAATAACAAAACTATTATCATTAAATATTTAATTGTATGTAGATCAACAGTGACAAGTTATAATTACTTATTTTTCTCGTATTTTCCACGTTTGCAAATTATGAGTAAGCATAACATTGATATTTATAAACTGAAAATAGAGTTATGAAACTATACTCTGGTAAGGAAAAGTTAACAATAATCTTTAATTGAAATTAATAATACGGTTTCGTTAATTCTCTGAATCGCCTGACCATTTGTGCGTTTGTTCCAGATTATTTACATATGGATTGTCAAGTTTATTCTCTTCATGATTGGAATGATATTTTCGTACTACAGATTTGGTCGATGCTTTGAAATAAAAATGTAAGTATACAAAATTGTATATATTTCGAATATACACAGTACTCGCCATACGATATGTTCTTAACGAAGTAGAAAACTGATTATAACGTAGTTAGAATTGACCAAGAAAAAAAATAAATAAAAGTTATGTGCCACTTCGTTGACCTATATTTCTCTCTTGTCTTGTATATGCAAAACGAAACTTTAATGATTTCCTCAGCATTTTGTTACATGTGATGATGAGGATAATTTCACGAAAACATGCGTAGAAAATACAGCTGAAACTATATCTAATTTTAATGCGTAAATTACATTAAACTAAAAATAGCATTGTCGTCATCACTATTGAGATCAAATTTTGAATCTAAATCATCTTCTGTTTTCGCAAAATTATGCATTATCAAATGTAATTTTAATTTCAATCTTAGATGATCGAGTAAATATTCACTCAGTACGTGCATGTCAAACAGTTTGTACTTCTTCAATAACAAAAATATTTATAGAAAAATTACAATTAATATAAATCTTCATTCTTTTCTTCTTTAAACAGTTCGAAGTGTAACGAAAAATAAAGATTGAAAAATATGAACCTTGACAGGTATCTGGTTCTACCGAATATGTACAACAGTGATATACAATGAACTAGTTCATTCTTTATAATTCGTTACTGACACATAGAGAAACAAACCTTTGTTATACTGGTGAGATAGAGAGAAAAGAGATTGAACATTAATCTACATAGGTTACCGATATGATTATATTGCATTAATAATCAATCTGATCGATCGTCTCATGATGCACTCGCCACTCTGATCAAATATTTTCTCTGACGAAACGTTGTATTAACATATGATTTTACTTGACACATCTGATTGCATAATAATAACTGAATGAGTTTCCATCGGTCTACAACCAAGATGAATACAGGTCCGGACAAAAGCTGAACACTTCTGAAAAAATATGCTTTACTTTTATAAATATATAACCGATCTGATGTGCTTCTTTCGTTCGATATTGCACGAACGCAATTTAACAATTTCTTGTACATCGAAAGATCAAGCGGAGATCTGTTGATCTTATCCAGTGAATATCTTCACACTGATCATTCAAACTGGATTTACACAAGAAAAATAGTCCTTTTCGATGCCAAATCATTAGGAAACAATGGCGAACATATTGAAACGGAACCACGAATTTTCTTTTCTTTATCTATATCTATGATTATCACCACAGACAAATGATTTCTCTCTCCAATTTCTTCTTCTTTATCTGAATTATCTGAATACATATTCATATATCGTATTTCGCGATTCTTTTTTTTCTTCGTATGGTGAATCAAAATGCGAAGACAATTGAGAATCTGAGTATCGATGTTACTCACACAAACAAAAATCTTACTAATAAATCCTAACAGCACATCTTCTATGACATCCATAGCAGCAAACGCATTACACGGTCTCAACAGTCTTTCTCTTACTCAAATTGACCAATTTACTGCTCCTTCATCTGCTCCAGCTGAAATCACGTCATTTACCACTGAAGTGTTGTCTGCTGCGGTATGCATCAACCAACTGATTTCTCTTCTCGACCAGTATGATGGTTTCATAGTGGCTTGTTTTTCTGATCATCCACTTGTTGAAATGTTACGAGAACATACTGACAAGCCAGTGGTTGGAATTATGCAAGCTAGTCTGATTCACGCAACACTTCTAGGAAATCGATTCGGGATTGTTACAACAAATAAAGAATGGGAATTTTTGTTGAATAAAAGTATTCACAACATGGCACTGGATCATCGATGCGGAGGAATCAAAGCGACTAACATTTCACCTGTTGGTTTAGAACTTGCTGGAAAAGATGTTATCAATGTGGCGATGAGTGAAGCAGCCGGTGAGCTTGTGAAGAACAACGGATGTGACATCATCATATTGGGATGTGCAGGAATGAGTGGATTGAAGGAAACGATGCAACAGGCTTGTCTTACTATGGGATTGAAAGCTTCGATTATTGATCCAGTCGTTGCTGGATATGAAGTTCTATCAGGATTGATAGGTGCGCAAAAAGCCTAATGAATAAATATCTCGTAGTTTTTAAATTTTTTTATTCGATGTGAAATGCAAATATGTGTTAAGATCAAACCTGAAGTGCCATGAAAAGTTTCAATTTCTCACAAAACTCTCTCTATTATTATTCATCGTTATGCCTTTTCACTATTTTATTAAATATCTACACATATGATTTCCAGCAGCAAATATTTACTTTTGTCTTTACTCTGCAAAGATATAAAACGTAACCACCAACGAAATCAAAACACATTTTGATAAAAGGTTGAAGAAAGGAGAGAAAATAAAACAGTCGTTTATAATGGATGAAAGCGAACTTCTCAATTTCAATTGGTTCTCCGAGGCAGGATATTCTCGTTTAAAAGCTGCAAAATTTGCTGTACGAAGAGCTGAAGCTGAAGATATCAAAGCAATACGAGACAAAATGATCGAAGAAGGCATATCATATCAATATTTACCGGACAATGTTCGAGAACTACCTTGGGGGGCATCTTGCAGTGAGGAAAAGTGTCGATATGAAATTCTTCAGAATACAAAATTAAAATTCATCCAGAGAAAACAGTTGCAAGGAAATTCTAAACAAAAGGAACAAGCAGAGAAAAAACAAAGTATATTAGATGTGAAAAGAAGCTACCAAGAGAACGTTGTGCAACGAAACAAAGCGTTGAATAAAACATCAGCTGAGCGAGACGAAGACGGAGATAATCTTTGTTCTTTATTAAACGCCGTCAAATTGGACGAACAATATTATCGAAAATTGCTGAGAGACGCGATCGAGAAGACAAAATCGATTTATTCAGTTTATGATATTTCTTTAGCATGTAGAGAAAATATGTTAAATGGTCTGTCAAGTCTATCGAATGAACAAGCAAGAAACTACTGTGAGAAAGCATCATTGGCTAGTTTAACTATTCAAGAAAAATTGGATTCACTCGATGATCGAGAAACACTTCGTGGGGTTCGTCTAGTAACTGAAGGTGAATCAAGCTTAAGGTATTCATTAGATCCATGTTGTCAACGATACAAATACATCCGAGTGATCCTTCAAACGGTTTTGACATTGAAATATTTGACAAACGAAGAGAAAATCGTGTTTAAAGAACATTTAGAACTTACCAACGGACTCATTGATAAATACGAAGCTTGTTACGTTTTTATCCTTGTGCGTGCGTTTCTCAATGGCAATGATGCTAATTATGATGACGATGACGTGAAAAAATTTATTGAAAAATGCGAAGAAGATTTCATACGACAAGATGCTTTATTCACACTACAGGTTCTTGTCGCTGTTACAGCGTTACATTTTAATCGTGAATTGCAATGTCCGGTCTTAATGTTCTCTATTGAACGTTATAGAAACCTATCTGGATCCTATAAGGACAAAATTGTTGAAAAAGCAATCGATATTTTAAATCAGCAGGAAGTTCAAGTGTGTCCAATAGTTGAACCTGTTGGATCTGAATCCATTGGATCTATACCGCAATTTGAACGACCTGGAAAAAAATCATTGGCACGTTGGTGTGATAGAAGAAATTATTTGCGTATATTCGATTGTCCAAAGGTTGATTTTTCTATTTATATTCACAAGTCCGAAATTGTTCACATAGTGAAACTCGTTCGTGAGCAATTTAAATCGGATTTCGATGGACAATATGAAGAAGAGGCAAGACTCAGTTTGCCTCATCAACCGTTGAGCAGTTCTGTTGTTTACCTGTCGAAAAATAAACAAAATGTAAAGGATATTCAAGGACAATTGCGTTCGGGACGAGAAATAATTCAAATAGATCCTAAAGACTATTATGTACGAATAGATAATGTCAAGGAGAGTTATGGAGACCTGGAAAGAATTCTATTTCAACGACTAGTTAAAGAATCTAGCAAATACACCCTTTGGTTTCGTGATATAATTAACAAAAGTGGTGAAAACATCACTTCCGACCACGAATTCGTTCTATTCGCTCATGCTAAAGCTGTTTCAGAGTGTGCTCGAAATTTATCAACTTGGATGATCAATTCAATGTGTTTAGATGTTATAGAAAAGGATATTAATTTAGATGGGAAAGACAATACAGATGATCAACGAATGTTTTCACCATGGAATTTGTTTTTTCAACATCATTCGATGACTGGCGGTAGTTATAAAAATCAAATCGGAGAAGGAAATGAAAATCAAGAGGAAATTGAGGATAAAGAATTGTATATCATTATGAATTGGCTTTGCATTTTCTGGTTGGGAAATGAAAATGTCACGATGGTGAATGATTCAGATGTGTGCTTGTCATATCTTGAAAATATTCAGCGTACAAAACTGGAAGCAGCTGAAAGATACGCACGTACATGCATCTTAAAAATGCTTTTTCATCGCATGTATTCAACAGACTCATGGGATTGTAATCATTTTGAAGAAACGTTACTTCTGCGATCTTCTCTTCCAGATGAGACAACACCTCGAAGAATACTGGGACAAATGTTCTTTGATAAACAACCATTGCGATTAATAGAAGATGGTGCGTCAAATTTCAATGATTCTCCAGCCGATGAACAATTGAAAAAAAGAAGATTCGAGGGAAGTAAAGGCACCGATCGAGACGAAGTGAAAAGACAAGCCAGGCAAAGATTTCAAAGATTGCTTGAAACTACAAAAGGCGATGATACTCTTCGAACATTTTATGACGACAAACGTAAACAATTAATGTAACTCATTCACATTTTGACAAAACGATGATTTTGACAGAGAAAAATAAGAAAATAAAACATCGGATCTGCTCAAGTGTAGAATACATCTTCTATTAAAGTGTCGGGTTCATCATTATGCTGCGGTTAATCCAATAGCATTTGGTCGGATGTTTAGTTTTGATATCACAAATGCTTTTAACGGATCTGTGAATTGGAATAGAGCAACGGGTACACATGTTACTGATGTTGCAGCAAATATATACGCAATTCGAAAATGATATAATGGTGGTGAAGTAAAAAATGACATAAAAATGAAAATTGCATAGGGAAAACCAATTGTAATGAGAATCAGTAGGAGAATAACTGTACGACGAACCATTTTCAATTCACGTTGAGCACGGAACAAAACATTCGTTGATATAACCCGTCTACTCATTTCTTTAACATAAAGAATTAGTTTCCAATAAATCAACATGGTAAACAACACAGGCATAAAATAAACGAATATTGAAAGAAATATTATTGGAAAGGAAAAGCTTAGAATAACTTGACAGATTTGATTGTCAATGTTATAGATAATATCACCGGTGAAGATAAATGCCATCGGAAATAAAATTGCAAATATCCATGTGCAACAGATAAAGAGAAATTGATTTGACTTGAATTGCCAAAATAGACATGTTGAATAAAGAATGCTAAGATATCGATGAAAAGCGGATGATAAAAATGAATAATTATTTAGAGCAAATGTTACATAAGTTAAATAACCACGAAAAATACATAACGAATCTGGAGATTCGATTTGTTTAATGTCGTTGTGTAATGTTATTATGTTCATCCAAAGTAAATTACTTGAACATAAAAGTATTGCTAAACATGAATTAGCAACTAAAATCATTGAAATTGTGTGATGGGTTTGATCAATAAATATAATCAAGAAAAATGATATTGACAAGAAAATAGATATGATAAGACAAATTATATTGAATATATCCATTGGAATAAACCACGATTGAACAAACATTTTGAATCGATTCTCTTCTCGGGAAAAATGTATTTTTGAAATGAAAAAGATTTTCTATATATGTATCTCAGAGTGTGATGTTGAAGATTTGCTTTAAAATAAATAAGCTCATTAGTCTCTCATTATTTATGAGGAAAAAATGTGAATAACCTACTGTTGTGTCCTTGACTATTATCATAATTGTCATTCACTGCATAAAAGATATTTCAGCTCATGGGAAAGTACTTTTAATTTCATTGCTGAGATTACGGAAAGATACAGTAGTGCCCAAATACTCAGAAAAACTTTTCTCTTCACTCTTGAATCTGTTTGTAATTTTATCATCACTAATAGACTACAATAGTTCTTACTGAAGTAAAATTCTAGTCACTAGGAAATCTCACATGACTAAATTATAAAAGAGTATTTAATTTAACGCTTCGCTTGCCCACAAATAAGAATAATAAATGAGAATTTATCAGTGAGTTCCGCTCATTATATTCCACATTTAGAAAATTTTGAATGCAATATAATTATAGTAAAAAGTAAAAAAATATCTGCATCACAACGACCCATTAAGGGATTCTCTCTGTTGTAAAAAGAGACACGTTTCTTATAATTATATTAATTCTCATCTACAATAATTTGAATTCATATTAAGAACCTGGTACACGAGCCGTTCCAGCTGTCTCTAAATTCAGCTTTGTTTCTACGGATATCTTCAAGCTGCACTCTCTTTATATTTCTTTCCCTGCATACGTAGAACTGAGAATCATTTGTTCAGATCAATCCAACGTTTTCATGGGGAAACACCAGTACAACTTTTTGCGCTTGATTAATACAATATTGCGCGGAACCATCGGGGCGGTTTATCTCCTAAAATAATTTGCATTGTGACTTATGATCCAAGAGAGAGAGAGAGAGAAATGAATTTCGATCTTTTGTGGACTATCACCTACTTTCAGTCGAAGAAAAAACAAATCGAGGTTGAGTTGACATCTGATTCACTGCACATGTGACTACCTGTACACATTGATAGGCAAAGCAAGAAGAATAATGTCGGATAGGTCAAAGAAAAAAAATGAGAAAGAAGTGAGTATCAAATTAATGTTTTATTAGCAAAATTTATATAATTTCTCCTTGTCGAAGCACATAGGTAAGTCGCTAGTAGAGGCGCACGGTCGATCAGTTTTGATTCATGTAAGATAAGCGTGGCATTTTAACCTTGCCTTCCGTTTGACGTGTGGATGAATAAGATTGCATAAATGAATTAGAGCAACAAGACCATGCTCACCTTCGCCTTCGATAAAACTAAGAATTTTCAAAACTGTTGTAGGTATACAAGAGTGGGCAATATGCATCACAATCATGATTCATCCATTTATTTTTATCATCTTAATGAGCCATTCGGTGAGTTTAGCAACTTTTATTCAGCACCTATTGAACTTGATGGGCATATCTGGCCTACTGTTGAACATTATTTTCAAGCACAAAAGTTCTCGCACAATAAACATCGTTTCAAACATATTGTACAATTGTCCACACCGCGAGACGCTTTCGACTATGCACAAATGCATCGTGATGAAATACGATCAGACTGGATGGATATCAGAGATGCCGTAATGTTTAAAGCATGTATGGCTAAATTTCAACAGCATCCACATCTTAAACATATGTTATTAACAACTGGACATCGTACTCTGGTTGAGCATACTAATAAAGATTCTTATTGGGGTGATGGTGGAGATGGAACAGGTGAAAATCGATTGGGATTTACCCTAATGAAAGTTCGAAATGTGATCAAACATCACCACTGAGGAACAACGATAACCTGACTATGGCACTGCTTTGTGCCTCTATANGTGAAGGTTGTCGAGCTGGCCCGTGCTTAGCTATCTTTTGTCCTGCAGGCATGTGTTTATCACAACATGGCTATTGTGGCACTAGTGCCGAGTATTGTGGTGTAGGTTGCCGAGCTGGTCCATGTTTGGGTAGTATTGGCAGTAGTACTGCCATTCCTCCAACGACTGGTATTGCGACTGCAGCTCCTTCGTCGATCGGTTCTATAGTTGTTTTACCACACTGAAAAAAATGGGAACCTTACTGAACGTTTAAAGTTTTGTACTTCTCAACGAAACGATTTTAAGTTCAGTAGACAATAAAACGTTCCTTAATTTTTCTGCCGAACTTTTTTAAGTTCTGAAATATTTGACAAGTTTCGATGTTTCGCTACCGAACTCGTCCAAAATTTTGTTTGTAATTTCCTGAATCTGAAGAGTTCTGTGCTCAAAGATGAGAGGGAGTTTAACGATAAAACAACTGCAATCCGGATTCTGATTCTTATTTAAAGAATCAACCATCAGATGACAGAAGATCTAAATATTTTCAAATTAATTTCAAAGTTATATTGAGACTGGAATTAGTTTTTTGGAAAAGCGATTGAGGAGATTAGTTGCAGAAGAACTTGAATAATGTACTCTAATAGATATCGAAATAATTAGGAAATTCGGAAGGAAATAAGAGTTGGATCAAAGTGTTTCATTATTCGCTTCATACGCTATTGAAGTATTACGTCATTGATGGTGATGTGTTAGAGGTGTTTATTATATAGCATTTGTGATGATGACGTTGAAGTATGTCGAAGAAACAAGATTTTATGAGCTAGATGCTTCATATATTTCGAAAGAAGGAATTCGAAAGTTAAGGAAAATAAAATAGAAAAATTGAATAATGGTAAGAATGATTGGTTAGGTAGGTTTATAAACTCAATTCAACAACGAACTTTTGAAGATCCATTTTTCTCCATATCATGTCTGATGTGCACTGGCACCGTCGGTGTCGATGATACTGGAGTCATGCATTAGTGGTCACTGTAGCACTGATCGTGAGTAAACACTGAGAATATCGAAATCGGTGTTCAATGGTGCACTGTAACACTGACTTTCTCAAAAAGTAGACGTAATAATGGTTTTGTTTTATTTACGAAGAAATAATGTTTAGAGGTGTGCAATCATATATCTATAAAATCCCACATTATCTTAACTTTCTTCATGATACTAGACACATTGAATTCTTTTATTTCTATTAACAAATTCAGCTTGAGGATGGAAACCTAAATCGAAGTAGGTAGATGTGCAAGTATACTATGTACAGTGTAGGAAAAAAGTTTAAGCGATTTCGGTTTTTTCGCATTTTTCTACATTTTCATTTTTTCAGTTTTCTTTCTCATAGTAAGGGATAGTAAATTGATTCAAACGTTATTCCAGGTAGTATGTAAGACCTACTATATGATGTATTAAAAGCGGACTCGGCTTTGGTCTCTATGGATTTCTTATGGCGAAAATGATTTTACTGTGACGATACAGGTTTTTAGCTGTGTAGTATTTCGCATTTCCCAAACGAGAGATTTTCCCAATTTAAAAACAAAATATATCTGTCAATTGAAAATGTCAAGCTATATTAATTGCTAACAGAAGAATTTTTCTCAAAGTGTATATTTGTCCTGGAAACACTATTTCACCGAAAACATCTGGAATTTACGAAATTCTTGAATTTTTCAAATTCTACTGTACCTAGGTCAACAAATCCGATGCTGGATCTGACCGGATCCGACCATCCGACAAAATCCGATCAGATTCCTGGAAACGGAATTGCGTTGGAATCTGACTAGAAAAATCCCGTTGGTTGTTCCAAATTTTATGAGCGATCTTTTTAGCTATGTTCTATGATGACCCTTAGAAAATGCAGGAAATCCATGTTTCGAATCCCATGAGATCCGACATGGTATCCTAGACCGTCGGAATCCAATGCGATTCCGTCACCAGGATTTCATCGGATCCGTCGAATTCCTGTAGGATCTGATAAAAACCTATATTGGATCCGATGGGATCCGAGTATGGGATTGTTCGACCTGGGTACTGATAGTGCAAGGTAACGAAAATCGTATGAAGCTATCAGTACGAAGCCCCTAGTGCGCTTATCAGAAAGGTTTTCTACCGAACCTTTTGTGCGAAACCATTTTGTTTATGGGTTCGGAAGATTTTGCACCGAACTTTCTACGGAACCATTTGGCAGGTGGGTGCAGCAGTTTATTTACTGAACCTTTACTATCGAATCTATGGGCCATCCGTTTGGTTGAGGTTTCTAGCGAAACCTTTTTTGTACGAAACTAAAAAGAAGGACCCGCCCGTGTATCAACGGGAAGAACCCTTTTTAGGTTCGGTAAAAGTCCTTTTTTTTGAGTGCATGCTTCATTCTATTTGCTTATAAACATAGTTCGATCCGCTGAAATGATAGTTTTCTGCATACTACTATTTAGAAATTATCGCTCTGACAAATGCTCTGTAATAAAACAACGTAATACTTACACAGTTGACAGGTTATCACTAAATCAATGTGTTGAAGCATTTCATGTGTTTTCTTGGTCATTTGCTGTTTATTGATATAACAGGAATCTTCGCTATACCGTTCATTTCATATACAATCGCATTTTAGGATTTTATGAATTCGATCATCATCAATCTCACTATCGAATTTATATACATAATCTTTCACTATAAAAATAATCAAATATTACCTTCCAGTTCGAAATTTAAAAACAGATCGTGTAACAATACAGATGAATGATGACCAGAGTTTCGATATGGACAGTAGTGTTTTCCTCCTTTATCTTATCTTCATCTCACCCTCATTCCTCAAGATTGGACTTTCATTTTCATCCACCACTCCCTTATCCTCAAGTTGAAATTCAATTTTCTCTTGTTCGAAAAATCTATTCAAATAAAAATATTATTCACTTTTTTGTGTTCTTCAATTAATTTTCATAGGATTCTTCAACATACGAATGAAACTATATAAAGAATTCAAAATAATACTTGTTTCTTGAATGAGAAATAGAAATTTCAACGATGACAGATAAAATGCATATACAATCGAGAATAAGTTATCATATTATTCATATTTATATTTAGTATTTTTAATCAAATGTTATTTCTTAGATTGCATGCCATCGGATCAACATTTATCAAGAAAAAACAGCCGCTCGGATAATTTCATCCATGTAAATATTCGATCACCAATTAGACGGAAAATAACAAACAGCAAATCTGTTACCTTACATGGACGTTCACGATCAGTTTGATATTTTTAATTATTTTGGTTTTTTGTCATTTTCTTATTGTTGAATAGGCTCCGAAAGTCATTGAACAACTTTATGAAAAACAAAATAATGAGATTAATATTTCATCGAAAACAAGTACGAACAGTTCGGAGACAATCTATCAGAAATCAAGACAATTATTTCAAGTATGTTTCAAACAGTAGTTTGAAGACGTTGAAGATGACAATCTGCGTGTAAGTTTTCATATTAAACGAAGGGTGAATTTGAAACCATGTGAGGGATAATGTAATTCTGGGTGTTGCTGAAACGAATACGCACACTTTTCTTCGAATTGGCAGAGTAAACAGAGGCCCATTGTACATCCACTCAGATGTGCAATCAGATCATTACCACTCGATGGAAGCACACTACTTATGTTTGGAAAAATGTTAATTTTGTAATTCTGCGGCTGATTGCATAAATTACAAATACCGTTTTTTGATGGAATAATAAAGGATGATGTTCTAAAAAGAATGAATTTAAATAAGATATGAGCGCGATAATTCATAGTTCTCTTGAATATGTATTTAGATAATTTTTTTCTTGTTAAGAACGATTCCACTAAATCAAAGATACCAGTTGAAACTTGGTCAAATTGACGAAATGTTGTCATGGATTATCACCAAATTGCAAATCAAAAGCAAAAGAAAAAGTGAGTCTTTTACTTTTCATTATTGCTAATAGAAATGGTTCATTTTTCAAAAATTAGATATAAATGCACACGGAAATGTGCTATTGGTTCTTTGCTGATTCTATCAATATTTGTTATAATCACAGTTTCGATTTTAATCATTCTTCTTCTGTCGCGCAAAGCCACACGAACTAGAAGCGGTAAAAAGAATCCTGATATCATCTAAAACTAATGAAAAGACGCATATTTTTTATTTTTTCGATTAGTTGCTGTTCCAATACTTCGCTGGAATACAACAGGAATTACTGTGGCAGGAATATCACGTGTACTGGGTAATAGCAGTGATCAGCTCAATAGACCATTACATGTAATATTAGATTACTTAAATACACTTTATATTGCTGATTCCGATAACAATCGAGTTCAGAAATATTTGAAAAATGCGACGAATGGCACAACAGTAGCTGGAAACAGCACAGCCGGTTCATATCCGAACCAACTTGATGATCCCTCGAGTCTTTTAGTTGACGAAACCGGTGATTTATTTGTTGCAGATTCCCTCAATAATCGAATACAATTTTGGCCATTTTTATCGATGTCAGGAACGACAGTTGCTGGAAATTCATCAGGTAGAATGAAAAAAGAAACTCTTATTATAAGACACATCAAAATAATTTGTAGGTTTTCCTGGAAATACGAACAATACGTTATTCAATCCATACGATGTTGTACGTGATTCTAAAACAGGTACACTTTATATAACAGATTTTTCCAATCATCGTATCATGTCACACGCCTCTGGTGCTTCATCAGGCAATATAGTAGCCGGTGGAAATGGAGCAGGATTGAATAACACACAATTGAATTATCCTATTAGATGTTATCTCGATTCTGCGTTGACCAGTTTTATAATTATCAATATGGACAACAACAACATTGATCGTTAGATGTTCAATGAAACGCATTGGACATTAGTCGCTGGTGACATCAATGGATTGCCAGGAAGTACATCAACACTTTTTCGTACCCCTCGAGCCTTAACATTGGATCCGATGGGTAATTTATATGTGGCCGATCGAGATAATCATCGAATACAATTCTTTCTTAATGGACAATCCAATGGCACGACAATTGCTGGAATAACAGGAATCAGTGGAAATAATACAAATCTATTAAGTAAATCACGATCTGTGATACTTGATAGCCAACTGAATCTATATAACAGACACAGATAATCATCGAATACAAAAGTTTCTGCGTTATTAACATTAGATTTTTCAACAACATTATAAAGTATCTTATGTGTGTGTTTAATTTGAATTAACTGTCAACATTCGAGTGTTAATTCTTATTGTAGAAATCGATCATGACATATTCAAAAATTCTGCATAAAATTAAATCAAAAGACTTTCCATATCGAGTATTTCTGGGTGATATCAAACTTAAATTCGGCAGAAGTGGTACTTAACTACTAGTCTATCGCTCTGACTGAGAGTGGCACTTTGAGTTCAGATTATGAAACAGGTTTTTCATATGCTGAATAGTCTTCTCGCTCTCGTTTGTGAATTCGATTATGCTGTATCCAAGAATTCAATAGATAAAGTTGAAAGATTAGAAATCTGTGCATTGAAACCTGCTACTGTTATTCTATCATTATGTACGTGATTGCCATGATTAGCGCAATTATCTATGAGGAAAAAGCAGACTTGAAGTAAAAAAATACAACAAAGTACAAAAGTCTGCTTTTCCCCCTAGGCAAGTACTCTCTTCACCCTCACCCTCACCCTCTCATCACCGACACCCACATCCCCTCGATTAAAAGAAACACATTTAGCCACTTGAAACATCTAGTTATCGGAGATGATTTTTATCTTAATCATATTATCGTTATTCTTTCAAATGTTCTTGAACTTTTTCGTTTATCGATTCATAATCTACTAAGAAGCGAATCTATTACATAACAGTAATCTCAAACTCGAAAGTTGAATTCAAGTTTTAAGTTGTACATGTATGGACCTCGTAGAAGTTGTTATATGGTTACATATCCATATCCAGCTATAGAATATATAGTCACAATATCCGGATCCAATGTGATATTTATCAGCCTGAGAAAGTGTTATCGACGTGTTTCTTGAAGTGAAAGAGAAAAACAAAGATTGTTTTTTTTGTCTCTACTGATTGCTAATGAACTATTTTTCATGGTAACCTAGTAATTATAAGTCCTATATATGGCTGATCTGTCTTCTGCACTCATTTAACGGGTGTCTAGGAATACTTTATGAACATGAGGAAAGGGCGTATAGACATCCTTTATCAGCATTGAAATCAGGAGCTTGCTTATCAGTCGGAAAAATATCTTGTTGTTTAAACTCGTGCTGTTCGATTTCTTCTTTTTCTAGTGAAATATTCACCCTTTTTGATCCATTAGAAAGCAAGTGAATTCTGTGCACAGTAAGAGATGTCAACGGATAGCAGTGCAAACAATACTATAGATTTGTTTCCCGATTTGGAAATTTCGTTATCACGTTCAGCTCGCTTCTGGATTATACTGTTTCTTGACATTCCCTCAGTGATCTGTAGTCTTTGCTTGATTATTCATATTATTATCGATCGAACTCAACGGCATTCTTTGTATAATCACACGATTTTTCTAATCCTGATTGTAAACTTACCAGTTCAATTATTGGATACTGGCTTGTATCTTTCTGTTATTCGCAATGGTCTTGTGCAACCATCACTACCGATTGTATGTCTTCTATGGTTACTGGCAGACTACTGCTTTTACTGCATGGGAGTTATTCTATTGACTTGGCTGGCAATCGAGCGACATATTTTGATCTTCTATGACCAATGGGTAACAAATCAGCGAGGACGATTTCTTTTCCATTATCTTCCTTTGATTCTTATTATCTTCTATGTTTGTCTCTTCTATATCGTTGGTATTTTCGTATTACCCTGTGACAACGTCTATGATTATACATCCTTATACTGCGATGTTGGTCCTTGTCTTGAGTCCTACAAATTTATCAATTTGTGGGAAACGAACTTTAATTATTGTTGTCCAGTGATTATTGAAACTGTTGCCAGTATCAGTCTTCTTTTGCGTGTGCAATGGCAGAAACGACGCCTTCGTCGGTCAAACCAATGGCGAAAACAACGCCGAATGATCATGCAATTAGGCTTAGTTTCAGGCATCAATACGGTCATGAACCTCCCACTCTATATCGTCTTCATTGCTCGGTCATGTGGTTTAGCTACGCAAAGCAGCACTGAAGCTAAAATCTGGTTTGATTTTCTCAGTTACGGAATAGTTTTTTTCTTTCCATTTGCATCATTATGCCAATTCCCAATTTTACGCAAACAGATTACAAAGACACTGACTTGTATCGTTGCAAGACCATCGCTACCACACCGTCTTTTAACCATTTCGTCAGCAAAAGTCATGCCTAGAAATAATCCGGTGTGATGGATTCCTGTACGATATTGCGAAGAATCGACTACAGAAAAGAATACTTCTATGAATCTTTATTGTCACGTTGCTGTTGTTGTTGTTGTTGTTCGCTTTGATGTTCAAACGCAAACACAACACATGCATGTATATTATATATATATATATTCCTTTTATTCGAATAAAATCTTGTATTCTCGCCTATATGAAAAGCATGAAACAGTCTTCGTTTTGACGGTGCGAGTGAAAGCATTGTTTGTCATTAGCACAGATCCGCATTCAAGTAACATTTTAAAGCAAAGAATGTCGATGAAAATTTCTGCATAGAAGGATTTCCTCCAATTCGACTACAATCAGAAGTAGTTTCTATTCCAAAAAGAAAATCCCGTAAAACTTGTCCGTTCTATTTCATCAAGAGATACTTTCATAATTTTCCTATAGATTTTCACAGAGAAGTCGTGAAAAACAAGAGAGTACATCCAAAATTCAAAAACTATTTGCTAATAAAGTGTCTTCTTTATATTTTGTTCATCTAATGTTGATTAACTCTTTGGCGTCCGGCGACGTATGTATACATTCAAACACAATCATCGAATAAAGATGCTTCAGTATATTTTTTACTTTTTTGGAATATATTTTAATACTTTACCAAGTTTCTTTCCTCTAGACTTGTTAGTGTTACACTTCTATCTTGTATTTGCTTCCTTTCATTCTGTATGGTAATACATATTATCTCTTATTCAGTGCATCCCAGTCCAATCACTTTTCTGTCATTCTTTTATTTGTATTAGTCATACATGGTTCTAAATATTCCGATTAGTGACTGCGATCGAAGTGTACACATTCATCGCAATCACAATACTCACTGAGCTTATTGGAGCACTGATACATTGATAATTACACCCGTCTTCGGTCAGTATTTCACACGAAATAGGTATCATGGTATTCTACGCTCTATACACTTTGCAGCTAATGGGCTTGAGAAAATCAAACTAATCATAGATGACTTGAAGCGAAAGTTATGTGAATCCAATAAAGAATCTCTGCATCGATGAAAGTCTCGTGTATGGAAAAGGATATTTGGGTTCAAGCAGTATATCCCGTCTAAGCACCCTCGATTAGGAATCAAATTATTTCAGCTCGTTGGTTGCAAAACCAAATTCATCCTAGACTTCATTATTTACACAGCGTATCAAGCCACAACCGGACTAGGATTGAGTGAATCAATTGTAATGAAACTAGTGCAGACATATTTGAATAAAGGATGTCACTTATACATTGACAGTTGGTATACAAGTCGAGCACTTTAAGAGCCTCTACACATCGTAACAGAACTGGTGCATGTATGGCATACACGAATTCAAACGAAACAAGTCGACAAACTGGAGAGGTAGTCCAGAAACTTATTTGTATTGACGACTACATCAACAACATGGGCAGTTTATAATACATTTATAATTTATGAAATGTAAAACAGTACTTCCTACAACTATCTGAGTTTTGACTGGAAATAATTAGAAAGATTTTGACAAAGTATGAATTGCAAAGACCATCTACCATAGAAAGACCATCGGCAAAAGATTTCCCTATTCTTCTAACTGCTCATAATTTCCCTTCACTTAGTCCACAAACATCGCAACCAAAGCAGCCTCGAAGAAAATGCGTTGTTTGTACATCTCACAATACTCGTAGTTATACACGGTATTTCTGCGCTGATTGTGATGATCCTCTATGCATTGTCGACTGCTCCAGAGATTATCATACGAAGATGAACGACTAAGAGATTTTTACTCAAGAATATCGTATGTTCAAAGGTTTCTTACAAAAAATGTTGATTTTCATCGTAAAAAAAGCCGGGAGTCAAAGGTTTAAAGATATTTTAGAAGTAGCTTATATGAATGCTGTTTATGCCTGTCAAATGATGACTAAATCAAGACCATCTGATGTCCAAGATTCAATTAGGACAATAGTTGTTATAGTTTTGAAATGTTAGAAATGCAACAAAACGTTTATCGTCGACAATATTCGGATACAACAGCAACATTGGTAATGTTTATTATAAGGATGGACGACTATTCGAATGCATTGAATTATGAGAGAAAAGAATCACTTTTTTATAGCAATTGCTTCCATCAGAACGCAATGATATTGTTTAAAGTTAGTACAATATGGCATGGGTACTCTGTAAATGAATCGTCGGAATATTTTATTGAAGTATTAACATTTGAAAGGATTGACTTTGATTCAGACGATCACGTTTACCTTTTAAAGATCAAACTCATGTGATTTATTATGGTAAAGAATAGATATTTAGGGTATATGAACGAAGACGACATAGAAAAAGTTGTTATTAAAATAATTATTAACGTCTTTTAATATCTTCTGTTATAATTGTTGGAAGAGTTTGTCTTTGTCGTTTTCTTGTTCTTATAATTATAGTAAATGTTTTCTTCCACGCTTTATAAAATCTTATGTCAATAATTGCAACGATAGCTGGATCNGGGAAAGGATGTCTTACATATTCAAAAAAAAACGTTCAACGACGTTATAACACATATTCATATTTTTCAATCAACGATAGCCGAGAAAAAATATTTTTTATTAAGGAAGCAAATGGCTATACATAGCGAAGACAACATCAAGAGTGTAATTTATATATAGGCGATGGAGTCATTAGATTTTTGTAGGCTCGATCTTAAAGAAAAGGTTCTACGCGCTGAGAAATAGTGCACAATTAAAGCATTTATGGGCATTTTCTTTCCTTCGTCCGTCTGTATTTATCAAGATATTGATTGAATTTTACTCGTATATTCGGGTGTTGGATATGTTTTTAGACTTACATTTACGAGTCTATCATCCCACAAATTGGAGTTTTTTTCAAAAGAGAACACAGTAAATGTGCTTATATAGAAATATTTGTTAAAGTTTTCTATTACAAAGTATATGTAGTCCTTTCGTAGAGCAGTTAGATTTAACAAAACTTACATGGAAACTTCAAATTTTATGGAAGTATCATATTTTAAAAAATATCATTAACAATTGTTTGACCAATAAATTTAAGAGTTTTAGGTTGTTTTTGCTGAACTGGAAACGAAGTTCAATGTTAAAATGTTTTTCTCGGAATGTTATCTTTTGTTGAAAAATACGAAATAATTTGCAATTAGTTCAAGATATACAACAAGATTTATTTTGTTTCGGAAGTCTCAACAAGATTATACTTTTGTCATCTTTTTCTTGTAAGAAAGAAAGAAGAAATATAATCTCGTTTAAATTACGGTGTTTCTACTCATTCTAGTGTTCAATATTGAAAAGATTGAAGCAGAATTTTCGATTCCTACTCAAATAAATCGGAATTCACTAATATCTGACTAAAAATAGTTAGAAAGTCTATCTAAAGGTACAATATAATCACTGCAAATTGAGTTTATTATTCGAAATGGGTATGAAATATTTCCCACAGAAGTTTCTCATCACCACTACTTATCAGTGATCATTTCCACTCAATCAGAGTATACGCTTTAAGTGGAAAATTTCATTCTGAATGGATGGAAATTTTACAGAAATTTTTCAATCTCTGATACTTCAGATGTCAAGACATATTTTCAAATTGAATTGATATGAAGAAAATATTTGGTATTATTTATTAAATTCTTTCAGGGATATTCGTTCAGAGTGTGAAGATATTATTCTTATACTGTGTAGCAAATCGAATGTCACATTCGAATATGTTTTATCACAAAATAAAAGCATTGCACAAGATTTCTAGAATTCTCTTTCGAAGAAAATAAAGAAAATCCAATCAAACTTCTTTCTGTTTCAATATGGATCGTGAGTTTTGAAATCGAATGTCGTTTCTTCATTTCTCTTTGTTTCAAATATGATATTCATCATTTGTATCAACAAAGAAACAATAAAATATCAATGTCTTCATTTATCTTAGATTCAAAGAACTTATTTCGAATTTAGCAGAAGTTGAAAACTGTTAAAAGAAAAAAGAAAACTCGATGTTTTCTTCACCAAAAGTATGAAGAGAAAAAACTAAATGAAGGGAAAAGAAGATGAGAAAATCAAAGTCTTATTTGAAACCATATTCAGATCTACTGCGAAGTTTTCCAGCGTAAAATCCCAGAGAAACACTCCCAGATGATTTTCCGGCTGGTTGATATTGAACATTAATACTCGTTGTATTACCTGTTCCCGATTCTGAAGTAACGATTCCTGGATTACCAACTAAATTTGTGACTTCATCTCGAGTCCATCCAATTTCAAGTTGATTATATTGTTGTTGTGTTATTGGATAAACTGTCGTATCTAATCCATATTGAGATTTCCTGTAAAGTATTGATCCTTGAAAATTAAATGTCGCTGATGAGGAAGATGATTGTGATCCAGTATATTGAATAGTTGTCAATCCATTTGGTGAACCCACCGTTCCTGATTGTGAGGTAATGATTCCTTGAGAACCAATGAGTTGTGTTACTTGATCTTGAGTCCATCCAATTTGAATTTTTGTATATTGTTGAAGATTAATTGTATTCGAACTTGAAAAATAAACACTTCCACTTTTTAATGATAATGTTTCATTAACAAAATAGAGATCAGCAGTACCATAACTATTTCCAGGTGCGATATATACAACTGTGGTATAATTTGTATTTCCACTTACAGACTCTGAAATGATACTTCCTTCACTTCCAACAAAATTTGTGATTTGATTTCGTGTCCATCCAATTTGTATAGAGAGAAATTGTTGTTGAGTCATTGTATAAACTCGGAAATCTATTCCATATCGAGACTTCCTGTAAATTTTTCCTCCTTGGAAATTAAATTCCACCGATGGAAACGATGATTCTGATCCAGTATATTGAATTGTTGCCCATTGATTTGATAAATCTTGTGTTCCACTTTGAGATGTAATTGTACCTGGACATCCGAGAAATTGTATAACATGTTGTTGAGTCCATCCGACTTGTACGATCGAATATTGTTGAAAACTGATTTTATTATTGATAGTTGATGCAAATCCATATCCATATTGACTGTTAAGTTTTTCCCCATAAAATCTCAGATACACAACACCATATGAACTTCCAGCCAGTTGATATTGAACATTAATACTACTTGTATTACCTGTTCCCGTTTCCGAAGTAATAATTCCTGGATTACCAACTAAATTTGTGATTTCATCTCGAGTCAATCCAATTGCAAGTTGATCATATTGTTGTTGAGTTATTTGATAAACTGTTGTATCTAATCTATCTTGCGATTTACTGTAAAGTACCGATCCTTGAAAAGTAAATGTTGCTGATGAAGATGATTGTGATCCAGTATATTGAATTGTTGTCATGTTGGAACCTCCATATCCAGATTGTGATGTAATAACTCCTTGAGAACCAATGAGTTGTGTTACTTGATCTTGAGTCCATCCAATTTGAATTGTTGAATATTGTTGTGGAGTTATTTGATAAACCGTTGTGTCTAAACCATATTGAGATTTACTGTAAAGTATTTCTCCTTGAAAACCAAATTTTGCTGATGAGGATGATTTTGATCCAGTGTATTGAATCGTTGTCCAGTTTCCACTTTCATATCCAGATTGTGAAATAACATTTCCTTGAGAACCAATAAGTTGTGTTACTTGATCTCGAGTCCATCCAATTTCAATTGTTGAATATTGTTGAAGAGTAATCGAATCGGCATCCGAATGCGATACGAAAGCTGTGCAAATAACAAAGACAAATGTGTAGAATGAGAACATTTTTGCGAAGAACGTTAAAAAAAACTGTCAGTATTTGTATTTTGCGAGAATACTTTTTATGATTTTGATTATGATCAAAGAAAATGACGTTTCACGTAATGAGAAAAAAAACTTCCGATAACATAATCATGGGATTCAATGAACCGTAACCGAGGAAGTATATTTGCCTAAAAAAAGAAAATATTTATCCGAATCGAAGAAAATATCGAATTGATGTGAAGGTAGAATAAAAAGTTTTGAAAAGAAATCGTAGAAAAATGAATTTCCACTCGTGAGAAGGAGTTCATTTGATGCAGAATCAGATTCTGCATCGAATGGTGGTACTTTTCTTTCCCATATCGAGGGTGTAATTTACGTATGTCTTTTAATTGAAAATGTTTTGATTTGAGAACTGTGAGGTGTGATAGATTATGTTCATTTTTGACAAATGATTGTTTGAGAAAGTTTTAGAACATTAACATCTGACGATAATTTATCGTCTGAATAAACCACGTGAAACTTAATTTACTTACGATAGAAAATAAATACCTGTAGAAATTTTTTCCAGTTTAGAATGAGTGAAAAAACGTGAAATCCAGGCGATTTCCTTGGTGTCGATCTATCGTGCATGTGGAGACTACAGATGGAGTTATCTTAACTCCCGCATTGCATAACAAAGGATGATGTCGAGAACATATTCATCTGAACAAAATCACAGGTGTTTCTTCTTGATTAAAAATATGAATATTTAGGAATTAATTATAAGAAATCAGAAGAATAAAATGAAAGGAGAAAAATAAAATCTTATTTGAAACCAATTTTTCAAATTTGCTGTTCAGTTTTCCACCATAAAAAATCTCAGACTATAACAATCACATATGAAATTCCAAGTTGTTGATATTGAACAGTACTACAAGTTGTATTTACCTGTTCCAGCTTTGTTAATGACAGATCTTTTTCTAGCAATTAAACTTGTCACTTGATCTCCAGTCCATCCAATCTGTTTTGTTCAAGATTAATCAGATAGACAATTGAAGCACCATTACGATGAAATGCGAGAGTCATGCAAATGACCAACACAAATGGATAGAATGTTAAAATTCTTGTGAACAATCTCACAAAATTTGTTAGTATTTATATCTTCCTCAGAGAAAAATTTCGGAAAAATGTATCTTCTTCATGATTTTGACTATGGTCGAATGTGGATATAAAATTTAAAAGGGCGTTGCACATATTCAAAACCGAAAACTTCCGACCACATTGTGACACATAATCATACTTTTCAATGGACAATAACCGAGAACAAATATTTTTTGCACACCGAGAAATAGCACACAATTAAAACATCAATGGGTATTTTCTTTACTGTATCCGACTGTGTCTATTAAGGCATTGATTGGATTCTCTTGGTATTCCTATTGATATTAAATTCTTGATTNCTGATTTTATTATTGACAATTGATGCAAATCCAGATCCATATTGACTGTTAAGTTTTCCACCATAAAATCTCAGATATACAATACCATATGAACTTCCAACCACTTGATATTGAACATTAATACTACTTGTATTACCAGTTCCCGATTCCGAAGTAATAATTCCTGGATTACCAACTAAATTTGTGATTTCATCTCGAGTCAATCCAATTGCAAGTTGATCATTTTGTTGTTGCGTTATTTGACAAACTGTTGTGTCTAATCCATCTTGAGATTTACTGGAAAGTATCGATCCTTGAAAAGTAAATGTTGCTGACGGTGAAGATGCTTGTGATCTAGTATATTGAATTGTTGTCATGTTGGAACCTCCATATCCAGATTGTGATGTAATAACTCCTTGAGAACCAACGAGTTGTGTTACTTGATCTCGAGTCCATCCAATTTGAATTGTTGAATATTGTTGTTGAGTTATTTGATAAACCGTTGTGTCTAAACCATTTTGAGATTTACTGTAAAGTATTTCTCCTTGAAAACCAAATGTTGCTGATGAAGATGAGTTTGATCCAGTATATTGAATCGTTGTCCAGTTTCCACTTTCATATCCAGATTGTGAAATAACATTTCCTTGAGAACCAATGAGTTGTGTTACTTGATCTCTTGTCCATCCAATTTGAATTGTTGTATACTGTTGGAGGGTAATTGAATAGACAATCGAATTCGCATACGAATGAGATACGAAAGTTGTGCAAATAACAAAGACAAATGTGTAGAATGAGAACATTTTTACGAAGAACTTTATAAAAACTGTCAGTATTTGTATTTTGCAAGAATATTTTATGATTTTGATTATGATCAAAGAAAATGACGCTTCATGTAATGAGAAAAAAAATTTCCGATAACATAATCATGGAATTCAACGAACCGTAACCGAGGAAGTATATTTGCCTAAAAAAAGCAAATATTTATACGAATCGGAGAAAATATCGAACTGATGTGAAGGCAGAATAAAAAGTTTTGAAAAGAAATCGTAGAAAAATGAATTTCCACTCGTGAGAAGAAGTTCATCTGATGTAGAATCAGATTATCTGCATCGAATGGTGGTACTTTTCTTTCCCATATCGAGGGTGTAATCTACGTATGTCTTTTAATCGAAAATGTTTTGATTTGAGATCTGTGAGGTGTGATAGATTATGTTCATTTTTGACAAATGATCGTTTGAGAAATTTTTCGAACATTAACATCTGACGATAATTCATCGTCTGAATAAATCACGTGAAACTTAATTTACTTACGATAGAAAATAAATACCTGTAGAAAATTTTTCCAGTTCAGAATGAGTAAAAAAACGTGAAATCCAGACGATTTCCTTGATGTCGAACTATCGTGCATCTGGAGACTACAGATGGAGTTATCTTAACTCCCGCATTGCATAGCAAGAATGATTTCGAGAGCATATTCATCTGAACAAAATCACAGGCGTTTCTTGTTGATTAAAAATATGAATATTTAGGAATCGATTATAAGAAGTCGCAAGAATAAAATGAAAGGAGAAAAATAAAGTCTTATTTGAAACCAATTTTTCAACTTTGCTGTTCAGTTTTCCACCATAAAATCTCAGACTAATAATCCAATATGAAATTCCAAGTGGTTGATATTGAACAGTACTACAAGTTGTATTACCTGTTCAAGCTTCGTTAGTGACAGATCTTTTTGTAGCAATTAAACTTGTCACTTGATCTCCAGTCCATCCAATCTGTTTTGTTCAAGATTAATCAGATAGACAATTGAAGCACCATTACGATGAAATACGAGAGTCGTGCAAATGAGCAACACAAACGGATAGAATGTTAAAATTCTTGTGAACAATCTCACAAAATTTGTTAGTATTTATATCTTCTTCATGATTTTGACTATGGTCGAATGTGGATATAAAAGTTAAAAGGGCGTTGCACATATTCAAAACAGAAAACTTCCGATCACATTGTGACACATAATCATACTTTTCAATGGACAATAACCGAGAACAAATATATTTTTTACACACTGAGAAATAGCAGACAATTAAAAAATCAATGGGTATTTTCTTTCCTGTATCCGACTGTGTCTATTAAGGCATTGATTGGATTCTCTTGGTACTCCTATGTCTATTGTCTCACAAATTGGAGTTTTTTTTTCAAAAAAGAACGAAGTAAACGTGTTCATATGAGAATATCTGTTAAAGTTTGGCACGAATTTAATCGATTAGTAAAATCGATGAAAGGATCAGTTATTTGAAAGAAACGATTGGTGAATAAATTTTCAGTGAAGTAGATAAAATACAAGATCAATGAATCAGATGAAAGAACGAATAAAAAAGTTGAAACGGACGAAAACGTGAGTCATCATTTTTCTTTCTTATTTTGTTTATTCTTAAACGTAACTGACTAATACAGTTTACTTCATCTTTTCTTCTCCTTTTTTCTTCAAATTTATCATCTTGTTCTTCATTTATAAAATAAATGCCGTTCTAGAGATGTCACAGTATGTGAGCGAAGCATCAGATGAAGAAATGCCTGGAAGCACTGACGAAATTGCGCAAAATAAACGAAGAAAAAATATAAAATCAAAACATTATATATCCTCATCGTGCAAGAATGTGGTGCTCGGGGAAAAAAGAAAACGCGATCGATCCTCAAAATCTAAAGCTACATTGTTGGTACACTAAGCTTTTCCTACTGATAAACTTGATGTTATTACTGGTCAAGTGTTCGTTTTTTGCTTATCAAATTTTTCTCTTCTACTGCTAAAAACTAAAATATTCTAAGAGTCAATTCATATAATAAATTGATCATTTTCGATTTTTTACTGCTTTTCTCAAAACTGATCATTCAACCTTTTTACTATAGTAGTTTCATCTATCTTATTGGTCATTTAATATATTCCCCTAAAGTCTTCTATTTCAAAGTATATGTAGTTCTTTCGTAGAATAGTTACCCAAGGTAATGTTTCCGGAATCCGGATACGCCCGGAACCCGAACGATCCTATGTCTTTTCCCGCATCTTCCTACAGGTTCCATGCGGGCTTGCAAAGTATCCCGCAGGAAAAACACACGGAAAGTGGAAGCAGTATTCCTGCAGGTATTCCACGGAAATGGAACCTTTGAAATCCCGAATTTTCGGCCACAGGGAAAATACACCAGATCCGCCAGGAAGTTAAAGGCAATATGATAAGATCCTTCAGGAAACCGCTGGAAATGTCACCGTGAACGAACGGAATCTATCCCCTTTCCAAAATCAAATACATCCTAATCTCTAAATTTATTTAACTACCACTCGAAATCCAGCAAAAAGCATCCTATGATGATTTTTTTCAAATTTCAGTAATTATTAGGGCAAATCCTAAAAGCATCCAAAAAGCATCCTATGATGATTTTTTTCAAATTTCAGTAATCATTAGGAAAAATCCTAAAAGCATCCAAAAAGCATCCTATGATGATTTTTTTCCAATTTCAGTAATCATTAGGAAAAATCCTAAAAGCATCCAAAAAGCATCCTATGATGA